TAGTTTTGCCAAGAGGTGATCATGGGATACCAGATAGAAGGCTTTTTTGAAGTCAAGATATATGACATCAATCTCATCTCCCTTGTCCAGGTGATAGGTCACCTGGTCGTAGAAGGAAATGAGATTGGTCAAGCAAGACCTACCCACAACAAACCCGTGAGCATCAAAAGCAACACTACAAAAAGCCATTTTCATTCTAGATTAGGAGTGTTCGCATAGGGAGAGTTACCTATGTATTAGTTTAAATTCAGACTTTAACTTATATCAGTAAAATAATATATCAGTATATAACCTCAAGATTATGGTTGTCAGTTGTATTTTATATAGAATAATGTTATGAGGCTGCAACATTAAACACATTAGCAGGTGGGTTTGAGTGCGTGGGCTGTGAATAGTCAGGCTTGGGCAAAGAGCCCAATAGAGCAGCAGAGGAGAGAAGGCTGTTTGTCTGAGGGAAGGGCAGGTATTAGTAACAATGCAACAAGACTGCACATGTAAGCCGGACAGTGCAGGGGACCAAGTATCACGTATTCATGACAAGGACACTAGGGTCAAAGCTGAAAGAACACAACACTACAGCATAAAGGCTTTAAAACCTGCAAGAATTAGGCATAAGCAAAGCCTAAACCCCCAGGGATCTTGAGCAAATAAGGAAAGGGAGGAAGGATGTTAACTCATTCCCTGCTCAGATATCTAGATCTATTAAAATTATGGCTACTAAACACTGTGTGTACTCCTTCCTAGGGAATAAAAAAGAAAGAAAAAATTACTAATCTGAATCATCCAGAACATAAAGACAAGGAACTAAGGCAGCTTACTAAAACTTCAGGGAACTGAAAAAGTTATCTAGGATTCCAGAAGCAATCGTAAGCTCCTGAGAGCTGAAAGTATATCAAGGAAGCACAGGCAGTGCTGACCATTCCTCTTTTCTTCAGCACAAAGGAGTGGAGGAGCAGGGAAGCTGGACCATCAGGGAATGGCCCAAAAAAGGGAAAAGAATCCATGCAAAAAGCACAAAGCACAGAAAGGATAGCTGGAAAGGCAGGGAGGTTAATGGCACTTGAAAGAGGAGAGGAAACAACTTTCACAAGAAAGGCTTCATTGTAAAACAGTCAGTGGATGAAACCAAAGAGTCACAAGGCAAGTTCCAGCTCAAAGGCCCCTAACAACAAGCTCCCTGTTATCAGCTGGAGAAGATAACTAAGCAGGGAAGGAAAATGGAGAGAATGCCCTGAACATGCAGAGATGCAGGGTTCACTATGGAACAATCAGACCCCAAAAGCTCAACTAGCACAGAAGGAAGAAACACTTTTTTACCCTCAGCATGAAATGAAAAACTGTTTCAATGGGTCTGACTAAATTGCTTCCTTGAATAGGGCCCATTGCTACATGAATATTATCTGCAGGGGAACACATTTCTCTACAGGTATCTGCCTGGTTATGTGAAAAGAGGATGCACCACTTTTTCTTCCCCAGCAGAACGGTCTTCCCAAGAGGATGAATGAGAGGGAACAATGGAAGGGCTGTGCTTGCTAGGCTCTCCCCTCACACAATAGACTCAGTTACTGCCACATTCCTGCTCTTCCAGCCTGCAGACCTGCTGAGTAAAAGCTGTTCGGTGGCTGACAGTTTTGCCTATCTCCCCTCGTTTACACCTTACACAAAACAAGGCCACAATGAACAGGGAAGACATGCTCACTCTCCCTGTGCTTCCGAGTAGTTAATTGTTGAACCGTGAAGTGACAGCTCCAAAGAATAGCATTTCAAAAAAATTCTATGCCCTTTTAATCCTTCCCAGGCAAAGGAGTTATCTGTTGCTACTCAGGGAGGGGCTAATTTCATAATTCTATCCAGAAGAGGCTTCATCTTGAATTTGAGACATAGTGGGGTAATGCAGGTGATACTGTAGAAAACAGGGTGCAAATGCCAGCAGCAGGAGACAATCTTTCTGGTGCCAGAGACACTTTCGAGAGTGAGGAAACCAAGCCCACTGAGAAGCTCATACAGCCTCTGGTGTCACAGTATCCCTGACCATACTAGCAGTCATCCTATGTTTTGCGAACATCAAATGAAAAGAGGAACAAAATAAAGTTATTTCAGTGCCTGGGAAAATTCTACACAGAAATGGAACAGCTGAAGGAGGTCCAGAAAGGTCACAATCAGCAAGGCAGAGAAAGCAATGGATTTGCATCTAAACGTTTCTAACAACTACTGTTCCTCAAGTTCTCGGAGTAACTCTATTCCTGGGCTGGACATTTAGTTCAACAGCTGGGTGTAGAGCTTCATTCTTCCACCTACTGAAAAGGACTTGCTGAAAGTCAGATTGTGTCAGGACCACACCACTTATCAGCAAGCATTGGACACCCCAGTTCAAAGCAGAGACCTAGGTTCTGTGCCTAGCAGAGGATGAATTATGGATGAGGACCTTATGTAAGAATAGTTCAGAGACAAAGAGATCCAATGAAACTGGAGTACTCCTGTTCTAAGCTCGTGTCTCAGAACAGAGCTCCAACCAAATCGCCTATTTATCATCTCTGCTAAAACACAGACTTTAACCAGATGTGTGAGGTCCACAGCCACTGAGCCCTTTGAAAAGAGAGCTATTAAAACACACTCACCAGCCTGCCAAGCGAGTGAAGAATGGAAATGCATGCTAGCTATGGTCCTATTCTCAGTCCAAAAAGGCACCCTGCTTTCCAGCAACATCTTGCTTGTTTCTGCTCTGTCACAAAGTCATCTCTGACTTCTGGCCTCAATTTGAAGGGTAGGCTAGGATTCTACTTTAACCAGCTCTCTCACCTGTTTAACCAATACTCCAGCTGACTTGCAGCTGGAAACATTATATAATGCAGTAGGCAGCCCAGTTTGTTTCATTTGTTTGTTATGAAAGTGCAGAGGAACAACTAATAACCAGTGCTGCTCTAATTCCTGATCATACTGTTTAACTGAACCTGTCCCTATAGGAAGTCACAGATGCCTCTGTCTGCTGATCAGTAAGAGTCTGTGGTGAGCAGACAATGGAGTGGAATGGGAGGGACAGGCAGGGTGCAATACTTACTCAAATTCTTCAAACTCTAAATCATTTCCCTCTACAGAGGAGCCCTGGGTCTCCGAGCTGGAAGCAGAAGAGGAGGAAGAGCGGAGACGGTTTTGTTGGTATCGCATGGAGCGTTGGCGAATGCTATCCCTTCGGGAAAGATACTGGATCATTCTCTGGGCGTAATATGCAGCAGGTGACAATCTGAGGGAGGGAAAAAGAGAGAAATTATGAACTGCAACTCAAGGGCTCAGGAAGTAGAGAATGACAAAACACAGCCCCTAACCCTGCCTGCTGATCTGAGCTTCAAGAGGAGCAGGGAGCACAGGACAACACGCCCTGCATACAATAGGCCCATACAGTTAAAAACAAGTGGCTGGAAGGCAGAGAGGCAAATAAAGAAGGTAAGAGCAGGGAAAGGAATACAAGGAAGTTTTTGCTTAAATAGAGCCTTTCCATATCACTCCCCTCTTGAGGAGAGGGATAACACAACAGAATGCCTGCGGACAACTCCAAAGGTGAACAGTAAACTCAAGGCACAGACTGCTCTTTTTGTGTGCTTTAAGGTTTATGGAAGCTCACCCAGCTGATTCCAGCAGCAGGCTTTAGACCACCACCAAGAGCCAAGCCCATCTATAATATAGACCCTACCATACAATATGAAAAAAAAAAACCCAGCAGCAATCTTCAGGTAAGACAACAAGCAGAGGTCTGTTCTTGCCACTAGACTCTAGAATACAAGTTTCCCTTGCTTTATGCTGTACTTGCATTCCTGGAAAATGGCGTGTAACTCAAATTCACATAAAGGGAACCCATTTTACAATGTAACAAATAGGGATACGTTCCAAGCCCTCAACTGTACTGACCCCAGACCCACTTGTACCACTTTTACAAGACTATTTTGTAACTTGCTGTGACCTGTACACACGAGCACAGATCACTATCATAATGGGTATGGCAACTACAGAAACACGTGTTGCAGGCAACAACCGAAGAGCACAGGTCCACACAGGAGACTATATTTTGGTGCGCGTCACTCCCACAACGCACCACACAAAACAGCTGACTGCAGGGCTTCCACCACACCAATCACATAAGACCGAATTTTTGGTATAACAAGGATCATTGCATAAGAGTGAATTTGCACACACAGAACCCATATAAAAGCAAGGGAAACCTGTACAATGTTCAAGGGGAGCTTTTATTTTCCATAAAGAACTGCAAGTAAAGTCCCCCTTGAAAATAGTCTAAAGCAACAAAATTATAATGACCTGGTCAAGGTCTCTACTGAACAAGCAAGCTTTATGACCTAGACCAGTGGTTCTCAACCTTTTTAGACTTGAGGCACCTCTTAGAATGTGCCAGCTCTTAGTTTTCATGTTTTTGTCTACAGAAAAACCATGAAGTAGTGGGGTTTTTTGTTAAAAAGAACTCAGAAAGACCACACATATGGATTTCTCTTTGAAATCTCTGACTTTATCTTGTGAATCACACTTGTAAACCTAACAGTGCCAACATTGTGAAGCACCATGCTACACCCTTGAAAGGATCTCAGGGCACCCTGGTTCAGAATCACTGATCTAGGCTATGTACAGACTGTAGGCAGAAACTGATGAGAGTCACTATGGTCCCAGGAAATAATATTTTGTTAAAGCACCTTGAATTTTTAATAGTTAACAAAATTTAATCCACCTCTGCCTTTTTCCAACTACTAGCTATCCTACTGCAACACCACTGGATCTGGGCAGCTATATTTGCTACTCCTAATCTACATATAAACCACCTCTGCTATGGCAGAAAATGCAAATGACTGCCTACTAGTAGCAAAGACTGTAAAGAGCTGACCAAAGCATATCCTCTTCAGGGGATGCACCAAGTACAAAATATCATCCCATTTGACTGAGCCTTGTAGAACAATTCCTCCTCTGAAGACAAGTCCAGTAAGACAACTGGGATCCTGTGTCAGCCTTATTTATTAGGCTGATATGCCATCCTTCCCAAAATAGCTCAGGGAAGCTTATAGTAAAAACAATACAACTTATAAAAGCACATAAAATATTAAATATTATAATAACTCTGATAATGTTCTGCACGTTTGACTTCTGTAATGGTACCTTTGTATAATCTTCATCTAGATACCATCATCATGCAGGTTTAAAGGGATTATTCATTAGGGCTATGCAAAGCTTTGGGTGCTGATTCAATTTGGAGGAGATTTGGCCCAATTTGGCAGCTGAATCCAAATCGAATCAGGAGACCAATAAAAAGGTCCAAATCGATTTAAAAAGATTTGGAGAGCTTCGTAGGTTTGGGCAGTCCCCACTTGTTGCCACAGGGAGCTGGACCCGGACTCCATGCTGTTAAGTAGGGGGCAGGGAAGGGGGTTGGAAGAATAGGGCAGGGACCCACCCACACCAGGCCCCATCTCCTGCCTGCTCCTCCCCACCCCCCACCAGGCCCAAGCTCCTGGCTCTTTAAAAAAAAAAAGCCCCTAATCACCAGCTACTGCAGCAGCTGTTGAGGCTTCTGGGGGCTCATGGCAGAGCCCCCCATACAGCACAGGGCAGTAGAGATTCCCTCCCCGCCCCGCCCCCTTGTAGGAGCCAGTAAGTCTG